AACAGGCGGCAGCGTTTGATCTGCGGGCTCTCAGCGTCAGCGAGATGGCCTCTCATCATTTGATTGGGCATTTGACAGGTTTGATACTTTCTGGGAACGTGTTATGGTCTTTACGTCTGATGAATTCAATGAGGGCCAGCTCTGTTATGCAAAGTAATTCGTGTGAGGCAAATAACCAATCCATCATTAAAAGATGCAAGACTTACAGTCGCAGTTCAGATTCTGTATTGGAAGCGAGCTGTTCTTAACTTGTCTATTAACTGTACCCATATTTCCTATAAGAGCTATTAAAAAGCGGGGGAGGAATGGATTGTGATTAGTTTCGTAGCATTGGCTTACACTGAGTGATTCTTTTCCAAGGTTACGGTGGACTTGAAAGGTAATATTATTTTGAAAGAGAAAATGTGCTGTGCATAGCTTGTCCTCGTGCTGTTATTTATTTTTATTTTACTTTATTTCTGTTTAGAATAAATAATAAGCACCAGGCAGAGATTCTGAACAGCCTGCTAATGACTGAAAATGAAAATACAGTATGATTTGCTCCCTCCTTCCACCGAGAAGCAGCAAGGCAGCGAGCATTAGGATGCCTGTGTTTTGGCCTGTACCAAATCCATTTCCCCCTCTTCAAAGCGAGGTGGAAGAAGTGCACTTAGTCTCTCGCAGTTTTACCGTTCACCTGCATTTCACTTTCTGAGGAGGCGATAATGACTCCTGGTATAGAAAATCTCCTGTACCGTGCCTCCCGGGATGTCATACACGCTGCACGATAAAAAGTAGCCACCTTGACAACGGTCAGAAAAAAAATATTTCTCCCTCAGATTATTTAAAATAGTTTAATATATTTTTTTAGGTTGCTGGATACCTCTTTAAAAAAGAAAGGAAACAGGTACAACAAAACTGAAGAGATGACTACTGGCCATCCTGAGAGCAATTCTACATGCGATTTGTGTGGGTAACTCAGCCCAGTGCACTGGGTGAGAAAAGTAACCTGTATGCAGGATTGGGCCCACAGGCGTGCCTGGTACCCGATGTTGCTCTTCACGATCAGTGCGCATCCTCTGTTTTCAGGTTTAGCAAAATACCAAATGAAAAACATTTTTTTTTCCCCCCTCTCTTACAAATGTATAGTTGACAAAATCATTGACTGCATCTATTCCTGCACAGGACAAGAAAATAATAATTATGACAATAGTAGGACGTATTTCATATTTCAGCCTGCGTGCAGTTGAATGCGACTCAGGGAGTTTTGAAGGGAAAGAAACAGCTGTATTAGATGGTTATGGTTCACTTTATTTAGAAGAAATTACTGCACAGAAGTGCTTATTTTGATGATCAAGTTTTGATATTTTAAAGCTTTCGGGAAGCCTTGTAGTAAATATTTTAATCAGACACACTAAATATATTGCAGCTGGTCTTATATAAGAAAAAATGAATGGAAATCAAATTTCAGAAACGATTTTTTGTTGTGCTATCGGATGTGTGTGTGCTCTCTCTCTCCTTTTTTTTAATAAAAAGCATGCTTTCTAGGTAGTGAAGGGAGATTCCCTTGCTGCTTTAGGTTTCCAATAATGAATTGTAGGCTTCTCAAGGCTGGGACACTGGCAAAAAAATGTACATGTGTAATTCTAAGCAGGGGAGCAGCTCAACCGGTGTTCTACTTTCCTGTGTAAAATTACTCACAGGCAATTTGTGTGGGATCAAGGTCTTTGTTAATCTATTTTTGGCTATACCCAAGGCTCTTCTTATTTAGATATTAATAAAAATGATACTGTTTTAAGTAGAATGTCATTCTGCAATGCTCTCTATTTCTGCATATTCTTTATATTATTGGTTAAATTTGGCTTTGCAGTAATCAGTTGGAGTTAGGGCTCCATCCTGCAGCCTTCCCGAAATGACCTCCCTGCCCTGAAGGAGGAGACCACTAAATCGAATAAGCGTTGTGGGATCGAGAGAGTTACAAGGTCCAACCCGACAGCAGGTGCAATGGCAAAGCATCTGATCTTTTTGCCTGGTCCCTTGGTGCCCGGTGAATAGGTAGGACCTGATCTAGAGCAATAGGGGGGCTTTCTGTTAAAGTCAACTGAAAAGGTTATGGCACTGGCTCAGGTCGTGATCTTTTTAGGATTATTACCAGTTGTCTTTCCCAAATCCTGCTGAAAACAGGTGTTTTAAAAAGTATCTTTGTATTCAAGGATTTAAAATTATATTACAAAAGCCTTTACCCATCTCGCTGATAGGTAAACTGAGGCACTCGGTGAGTAAACCCAATGTTTTCAGGAATATCTGGTAAAATCTGAGCAGGACGTAGTTTTGCACGGACCGTTCCCTGCGTGGGATGCCAGTTGAGCCGAGGGGACGGTGTCGCGGGCACTTGGAGACCTTCCCTCCACTCGTGAGACAGCAGGACCACTGCTGCTCACAAAGTGGATTTTTGTTTGTGGTTTGGTTTTCTATTTTAATCATCTCCTGGGGGGAAAATATGAGTGTAGTGAAGTGTCTTGCTTTGGTAGGATGGGATTTTTTCTTTGTTTGCTCCACACGCACACTTACAGTGTTGATGGTACTTTGTGTTTATGTTAAAGGCAGCATGATGGAAGGAATGTGTGTTGCCTACATCAGTTCGCTCACCCATATAAACATTTTCAGGAGGAAAGCCTGTATTTGTGTTTCTATGTTTTGAGATACTCAACTTTTTGACTATTAATGAGAAATTTTCACAGGTGGGAACAGCTGTCTCTGCTGCTCATTTTAACTTCAGTGGTACATTATCCAAATTTTTGAAAGCCAGGTAGCATATAGCAAGGCTTAGATAACTAGAAATGAAAGCGGTCCGGATTTAAATCGGAGTAATTTGTGAGAAGAGCTGAAGTCCTCCTCAGCCCCTCCTGTGTGTTGCCCTCGGTAGGCCACGTTGGTCTCCCACCAGCTAATGGTGGGCCAGTGTTACTGGGTTTCTTTGGAGCGGGTTCAGTTCATATATGACAAATGTGTTTAGAAAACGTTCCTTGCCTTTTACAGCACTGCCGAAAGAGCTATTATATGCACATTTTATGCAAACGTGTAATTTTCAGCAGTTTCCTTAAAAAGTACATTTTAAGATGGTTCATTTGCTATCATGAAGACTCAGGGTAGAAATGAAGTCTGCTTGCAAAATACTGCCAAAATAAGGATCTGACTGCCAAATACCCAGAAAATTTATAAAACAGATAAATATGAAAAGAGGTTTAAAGTGTCAAATCCAAGATAACCCCCGTAGCAAAGCAGGATAAAAGCCTTTATTGTTGCTAATCTAAGAGCACATCGTATGTCAAAGGTCACGTATTTTACATAAAAGATGTATTGTTTTACATACTCTCAGGAAGGTGAGACCTGACCTATTATGATGGAGTGGTGTTATGTCCTTTACAGTGCAGAATCAGGAATGTCTTACGCGTGTACCCCAGCGAAGCACGTAGGGCTTCCTATACAGCAAACGCGTACAAATTTCGGCCCCTGATCTTCTGGTACCTCATTACGAGAACTGTGAAAAGCCTCTCGCTCAAAACATAAAAAATAAAATAAAATGCCAGTGAGCAACAGATAAAACCAATATTCATTTCATCTCAAGGTAACCTTTTTTTCCTGGCTAAAAATAGTCGGGTTTCAATGGTAAAGAAGTAATGCCTCATTCTCATTGTGAAAACATTTTTCCTTCCAAAATAAATGGCAGATGAGTACGTTTTCTTTTGAAAGAACTTAATGAAGATTCTGATTTTTCCCAGAGATTGATATTTTACTACTTCGGTAAAAAGCTTCACCTACTGATGTAAATAGCATAACTTACCACTCGATGAGTTTCACAAACACCCCCAAAACTCCACATCACTGTGTGAATTTTATGAAACGGAGTTTCACGTAGCTCTGTCTTACACATCCACATGTCACCGACTTTCCGTTTCATATGATGTCATCTGTGTCACCAAATTATTGCATATTTCTTTCTGTCTTTATTACATATTATTCTGCAGTCCTGCAGCAGAAGATGAACATTTCAGTGAAATTATGTTATAATTTTACTCTGTTAAGGTATTTGGTCAATTGATGTGGAATTAATTCTGAATGCTGTTAGTGGTTTGAGTTAGTAACTTGATCTAAATTAATAAACAAATGTTTTTCTTTTCTCTTGTACCATATGTTGATCCCAATTACATGAACAGAAAGTGGCAGATTGTCATGTTTCTTAAAAGATTACATACTCTTTTGCATAAGAGAGAGTACACAAGATGCAGTAATATACAGGGTAAAAAAACCCTACACGTGCTGTTTTCTCCCTCCTACTTTTTATAAAGATACACTTTAATTATTTCTCTTTTTAATACCCCCTCGGCATACTTGGTGTGCTCTTGGTAATGCTTAACGAGATGATATCCCAAGACAGGAAACAACTTTCTGAATTAGGCATGGAAGATGCAGCTAGTTTTAAAACCTCATCTAGGACTGTGTCTCTATGGAAAAGGATGAAAAAAAAAAAAAAGGATCCAGAAGCTAAAATAGCAGTGGTTACAAATGGTCTTAAAATGCCTTAAGTAAGGAGAACCCATTCAGACAATAGTCAGATTTCTGAAACAAAGGACTGAACTCATCTATTATTCAAACTGAAAATAGATTGATAGACATCAAGATTAAGAAAGTTTATGCTAGAGAACAAAGATGTCTCATCTCCATGGGTTTTTTTTCTTCTTTTTTTTTTTTTCCTCCCAAAGACCAAGTTGTTCGTGCTGAACTGAAGAGCCTCACGCTGGCTGGTACTGATAAGCAGCAGTCCTGTGACTTGATTGTTTTTATTAACTCTCTCTGAAAGTCATTCACCATTAAACACGATTAGATTCATTTGTTGCTTTATTTATGTTTGTACTTGCAAATGTGGTGCCAATGAAAATGCTTTGGGTGGTGTTGCTGACGCCGACCGACCCAGCAGTCACGTGTGTTACCTTCTTTCTCTGCAGGGTAAGAAGAGTGACCTTTTTGGGTGGCTGTAGCTGAAGATTGCTTTACAGGAGCAACTGAAGAAGGTAAACACAAATAATATTTTGCACACGGTTTCTGAAGCATGTCTGAAGGAAGGCTCCGATCCTGCAAACCCCAGGAGCGTGCCTTAGCTGCACAAGTAAAGGCTCTTCTGGCAACATGGATAAAGATCACAGCGTTGGGCTTGGAGCTAAGCTTTTGGAGCCACCGCTGTGCCTTAATCCTGTGTTTTGCCTGGGAAGCCAATGGTTTAGGTGCCCAGTTGCATTTTAGGAGCAAGGCCACAAAGATGCACTTTTTGGCTTTCAGCCATGTTCTGAGAAGGCTGTTCGGTAACCGGACAGAGCCTGTGTGCAGATGGGAAGACCTTGCTCTGGCTGGTCTCAGTGGCCATATGGCCAAGTCCATGGCCCAGCATCCATGGGAGCTGGGCTGGGAGCTGCAGCGGCACAGCCCTGCGGCAAGGTCCCCTTACCGGGGCAAATCCCTGGGGAATGGTCAAGCCAGCTTCAGTGCTGCTTCGTCCCAGGCTGAGACACTCCTGGATTTACAGCAGCACGTCGAGCAGAGCAGGAGAGCAGAATTTAGCTGTTAATTTGATTGCTTATTATCACTGCAAAAATTAAAACACATGCTTTTTAGTCTTTCGGAGCGTAGCGAAAACGAAAGAAATACCACTCTCTGCAAAATGATTTTTATTTAAAGCAACGTGAAAGTCCCTTGCTTCTAAATTAACTCCTTGCCTCTCTTCTAGTCCAAAGTTTCGAGTTGGAAAGGAATATTAACATCACAAAACTGGTGATTCACAAAATTAACTTGCAGAAGAGAAGAGTAACGCAGATCAGTGTTTGGTACTGAAGGGTGTCATCTGACTGAGGTTCATATGGCTGCTTTATAATCACCTTCTTTCAGAAATTAATAGTCGGTTAAGCACCATAGCAACAAGCAACACTGATGTAAGCGTTGAGCAGTGGCTGCTGTTCGCTGTGATGTCAGTGCTCGTTAGTGCTGTTCTCTTGACCTTGTTTGAATATAAAATGGTGATTTCATTTTAAACAGAATTTTGCAGAATGACTAAATGCATCAAAGTGAATTAGAGCTATTTTTATTTTTAATTTTATTAAAATGTACTTCAAGGGGGAAAAAATGTCCCTGTTCTCTTCTGTTTTAAATTAAAATAGATCTGAGGATGATGTGGGTTTTTTTTTCTTTTTCAGTTCTTTGTTGCCAAAAATATCTATTTAGTGAGGATGAAATTCATGAAGTTCAAGTGAATATTGCAATCCTTGGCCATGCCAGTCGTGTATGTCAGCTGTATGATATATGCCTCTCTTCAAGATTTGAATATTAATGGGGTTTTTATGGTGGAGCCCATGATGTATTAGATGCATTTCAGCCACTGAAAAAGAAGCAGATCCTGCAGTTTAAGAAGATGGTGGTTCCTTGCCCTGCAGTGGTGTTCCCCCTTTGAGTTTTTGTGAAGAAGGGAAAAATTTTAAGTCCCAGGTGCATCAGAGGGCCTCAGAATTTATGGGATTCTTGTGGAGCCATGGGAGTTCATGTGTGGCCATGACGCTATGTGACCCAGGAAAAGGAATTTTGGTTGTGATAAATGCAAAACACTACCTTTAGACTAGCCTGAAGTTTGTAGGCCGTGGCTCCAAAAGCAGACGTATTTTGTATTGCTACCATCAGGACACCACACATGCCAGAGGTACCCTCTGGCGCGCACCCTTCAGCAGTAAGCAGTTTGGGTGATTCGTAGAATGTATCACTGGAAAAGACCGTTAGATCTTTCAGTCTGACCTCCTGAGTATCGTAGGTTATTGAGTCTCACCCCCGGGCAGAGCTGGTAAGTAGGGTTCAGCCAAACGCTGTCTCCTAGAAGATGATCCAGGCTCAGTAGGAAGACTCTGAGGACTGGACAAAACACTGCGAATCAGCTACCGTGTATTCATGCGGGATGTATGTTCAAGCACGTGTTTCAAACTGCACAACAGAATTCACAACTTGATGAAAAATCAGTTGTTCTATGTGTCCTTTAATGTTAGGACTTGCTTCTCTGAGAAGGTTTGGCTCTGTCCTGCTTCCACTGCAGCGAGGGGTACTATTTTCAATGAAAACCTATTTGCTGCAGGATCGGTCCATAATCTTGAAACATATTTCGTGAAATAAAGCCATAATGAATGATATGTGGTCCAAGAAACTGGATGTCAAATTTCAACTGGGTGAGAATTGAAACTGCCGAGATAATAAACCATGAGAATAGGAGATAGTAATGGAAATAGCGATAGAGTCCCAATTAGAGCAGTGCCACTTAAACAGGGAAGGTTAAGGGTTTGGTTGATTGAGTTTGAGCTCAATTGCTTGATAGCTTAATTTCAGGTGAAATCCCATCTTCCGAGTTAGCGATTAAGCCGCTCAGTGCAGTTACAGAGCAGGACTCTGCACTCCTTGAGGAGCGGCCGCGTGGCCCCGGGCGTCCCAGCACTGCGTGCGAGCCTGGCCTCGGGCACGCGGAGTGGGATACAGGACAGAGCTGGTAAAATAGATTTTTATATTGTGTGTTTTGTTTGCTTTCTCTTTTTTCTGTGACCTCCAGAGAGATCTGAATGGAGGCGCAAATAACGGGATAGATACAGCAAGGGGCTTTGATGGTTAAACCTTCAGAATTAAGATGTTTACACTCTCCTTTACTTAGCACTGTTAGGCATAATGCCTAATTATATGCCAGTTTTTCCTCAAAGTAAGAATTTGAATTGAAATGTTTGATTTGGGGAGAAGGGAGGGGAAATGTATTTTTACAGAATTATGGACAATAGTGTTAGTTTTCCAGGAGCAGTCATTTTTTTAAATGTGTGTAAAAGCATTTTCAATAATCAAACACCATTCAGCGAGCATTGTAAATCAGGGATAGCTTGCATGCTGAAAAATTGAAAAGTACAAAACATGCTACTAAAGTTGTACATTATTGATAACAAAAGACACATGCAGACTTTTAAGATAGCAAAGATAGAATCCTTTAGAAAACCTTTAGCGGGGAAAAAAATCAACACAAAGGATTTAGCGAAGTTGCACTTAGTTTAAAATTTCAAATCTTAATGCTTGTCAGAGTTAAATGCTGATTAAATATTGTTAATAAAACAGAAGCTGCCTGCTGTAACTCAGAACCGAATGAGATGATCAACAGATAAATCTGTGGGTTTGAGCTTTAACTTTTTTACATATGTATATTTCCTCCTCCCTTCCCTTCAAGCCAGGAGAAAGGTCAGGAGGACTTTTTTTCCTAAGCTCAGTACAAAAAATGGATTGTGCAGGTTTTCTGTGTCGAAAATGAAGTGGTTCTGGGACAAAAAAAAAAAAAATCATTTTTTCCCCACTAGTCCCACCACTTTGTTTCATCAGGGAGAGTCATAGCTCCAAACCAGGTTGGCATGTCGCTGTGCCACGTCTTCGCTGGCCATAGCAGGAGGAGCTCCAGGCAAAAGTCGAAGCCCTGAAACAAACTTTCTCAGGGAAGTTTCTGTTTATGAAGGGCTCAACAGTGTGTGCAGTTTCTCCCCAGCACTCTTCCTTGCTAGTGACTTTCCAGAAGGTGTGCTGGTGACGTCCTTACTCCTGTTTTCTGTACCGGCTGGGTGGCAGCGATGCTTGCACGTCAGGCAGTGGGAAGTTAGTAGGGTGATGTTTTCCTTACTGAGCTCGGCACCTTGACTTTTCTTCCTTTTGACCTAATGGTCTTAAAGCATATTACGGAGCAGAAATAGCCATCGTTCCTAGAAGACGCCGTGTGCGGCTACTTCTGAATATGGGTCCTGTGACTTGGGTGCATTCATAAGAAAGTCTGTAATGGAGCAGACAACCTGGTTCTTGGACGTTTTCTCCAACGTCTTCTCTGCAACAGGCCCAAATTACATAGAGCCGTACTGGAAGCATTTTGCATGAGTGCTTGTATCACCCCCAGCAGGAAATAGGGATCTGAGAGACCCCCATTGATGCCTGCTGCTCACTTGCTGGTGGGGTGCTAGTCGTGTAGCTGGGGCGATTAGTGTCTGTCAGGCCACATCTAAGACTGGATTTATTTACTTTTGGATTGTTGGGAGAGGTTGTAATACTCTGCTTGTTAAGACCTTTGAGTTACTCAAATTGAAAGGTACGGTGTGGTGCAAAGTGTTTCTGTAATCTCTAGTAATAGAAATTACAATATTACCTGCATGTTTTGGGGTAAACCCTAAAAAGGTTGTGTGTGGGCCTTTGGAAACACAAACTACTTGAAGACCTTACCTATGAATGAAAAGTTTAGTCCAGAGATGGGTGAAGCTGTGACTTTTCTGAAGCAATTGGGTCAAGAAGATGTAGAAAATAGATTAAGACATTTTGGAGTAATTTCAAAAGTATCTGAGCAAATCTCATTAACATGGACCACTAGCATGCTGTATTGAAGACTTCAGAGATCTGTCAGAGGAGTTCTCTCTGCGCTATTGTCTGCCAGCATTAGCAGTCTCAAGAGAACATGTTTCTTTTGTTTGCTTTTGGCCCATTTAGCTTTTCTTCTTTTTCTTCTTCTTCTTAATGTTCCTTAATATATTATAAATCTTCAGGTGGGTTGGTGGAAAAATATGTTTCTCGGCTTTAAGATAGTCGGTAGCAGGTATTGATCCTCTTAATCTGACGCTTTTGGACCAAATCCTTCTGGTCTTCATGAAGACTGCTAAAGTGAGCAAGACCCGTCTTCATGAAGACTGCTAAAGTGAGCAAGATTTGGCCAGTATTTTGCATAATCCTGCAGTGTTTCTTCCATTAGCTTAGGTAGATGCTTGATATGATCTTCAGTAAAATGCAAGTGCTGATTTGTATTACTTAACACGTGTTCAAAGTACCATCATCCGTTTTGAGGCTGCGAAGGACATGAAGCACAAGGCTGAGTGGTTCCTGCACACCTCTAGATTTGGAAACCACTAGCCTAATCTGTACCCACAGATCGAACACAGTTGCATATATTGAAAATGGCCTGACATGTAAAGGTTGTAACTGCAGGTTAAGC